ATCTGCATCTCGACTGATCCTGTCCCGGTTTAGGAAAGGTTGTGCAATCAGGCACTCGTGTTTATCCTGTCCCGGTTTCGGAAAGGTTGTGCAATCAGGCACTCGTGTTTCCTTCGGGTAGCATGATAGACAGGCACCGAAAGGATGTCACCAATGAATGACTAGAACTATTAGGTCGTCCTGATTTAACTGGGGGCCGTTCTTTTGAGCTGGAAATTTCGACCGATTGCTTGTTAATCCACTCCAAAGTTGGTGGTACTATCAAAATAAACACATGCCACGACAATATTTCCACCGCGTATTACGTCATACACGACGTTTTGTAAGCAAACTCCTTCACTCGAACTGTCTTCTCGGAAACTGATAAATATCGTTGAAAACCTCAACACCAGTGTGGATTCCGTCATCTTCCTGAAATTGTATTTGGTGATACGCACTCTTAAAGTCAAGCGTGATGGAGATGCCATATTGGGCTACTTCATTGCGCAAATCATCGATTCCCGGCAGCCTATAAGCGTCCAGTTGCATAGTTTAACTGTAATCAACGGTGATTATTTACCTCAGCTTAATTGTCAGTCCGAACCTTTCAATATTGCATTCCAGTCAAAAGAACCAGTAGAAGTGAACGACGACTTTCAACGCATGGCGACATTCTGGAAGTTCTGAGGCCTTTTGGATGCAGTATTAACAACCAAGCTGCGGCGGATACAGGATCATATGTGTCTGGTGTGTCCCGCATTTTGACCAATCAGAACTCGGGCTGACAATGGACCATCGAGTGGCCCGACCTTTTGGCCAGTGGTGTGCGGGCTCCCCTTCTAGGCCGTAGCTGCGCCTAACTGCAAGACGCAAGGCGGTATCGGTGCTTTAGCATACGGTGTCTACAGTTTTGGTTTATATGCTTACTGGGCTTAGGCTGACGAGCTTTCTCTCTCTCTTCCATCCACAGAAATGGTTGTGAGCACCTGCCTTCGGAAGGCCGCCCCGCTTGACGAAGGCCGCCTCGCTTGACGAAGTCCGCATTCCCCCTGCTTGGAAGGAAGCGATTGTCACGCCGATATACAAAACTGGTGGCCGATTATCGCCTGGCCTATAAGCCTCACTAGCGTGCCGTGCAAGGTGAGGAGCGCATTCTGAAGCGAGCCATCCTAGATCACCTTACTTCCAGCAGTCTGATATCTCCAGCTCAACATGGATTTCTCCCAAACCGTTCTTGCGTGACAAACATGCTTGTGTTTATGGACAGCTTAACCCAAGCCAAGGACGAAGGACTCATATCGGATGCCATA